GCGGGGCATATCTTGAGCATACACTGATGATAAACTAGCTGTAATGTCAACTGATGTCTATACAATGACATTGTCTAGTCTGTATGCTCATTTCTCTCTCTCTCTCTCTCTCTCTCTCTCTCTCTCTCTCTTTCTCTCTTTCTCTCTCTCTCTCTCTCTCTCGCTCTCTCGCTCTCTTTCTCTCTCTCTTGCTCTCTTTCTCTCTCTCTCTCTCTCTCTCTCTCTCTCTATTTCTTTGTATTGTAATTTGTACAGTATTGTTTTCTAGTCTGTATACCCCTTTTGCTGTACAACGTTTCTTACTTTCTTTATACGACTTTGGTATAAAGTTCCTGTATTCTGAACAGGCTGCATTTTGATAAGAACATTGAGGCCACATTCAAGGAACCCAAAGGAAGGTTTGTACCCACTTCCACATTCCAGAAATTACATGGAAGTGACACATGGCCGTGAATTCTTGATGGCTATTAACCTCGGTTGACATGGAGGGCACAGGGAGAGTCCCCTTCAGGAATGAAGGAAAACAAGAAGACAGAGTGGCATTGTAAAGGAATGGAAAAGAAAGTGAAAAGATTTAGTGAAAAGGAGATGTAGGTGATACACATTTTGAGAGAGAGAGAGAGAAAGAAGGGAGAGTGAGAGATAGATAGTGATCGATAACAAGGAGAGAGATAGGAGAGAGATAGGAGAGAGATAGGAGACAGAAAGTGGGGGATCATGCATAGAGCTGGTTAAACTTAAACAGTACCGGTATATATTTTTTGTGTGTAAGCTGTGCAAATGGACGTACATGTACAATACATGTTCATGTACCTCTGTTAACTCTAACTTCCAATGATACTTCACTGACTGCCAAGGAGGTGATATAGGCGGTCCTCACATAATGATGAGACACCGCTTTCCTATCCATGCTCCGAGGATGAATTTCATTTTTGGCATCTCCCTAAAGTCGTAAATCCTCCAATTTCCTTGTATGATCCTGCGCCAGGCAATCAACTATCAATTCCTCCATGCCACATGAAGTGATAAAGAGGTCACCAGTTAATACCAAATGACAAGAAAGTGTCTATTGGCCCAGCCATGGCCTACATTGCAAGTTGTGAGAGAGAGAGAGAGAGAGAGAGAGAGAGAGAGAGAGAGTGGTAGGGGGTCGGGTCATGTTGTTCAATATCTGAATAATTGTATACAATTGTGTGTAGTCTTTCCTCCATCTACTTTTTTCTGAGTATATGTTATGAATGTGAGTGGGGGAGGGTAGGGTTATGGTGAGAAATGCTAAAATTATTAATATTTTTGGAGAAATCGTGCACACTGATTTTTTTTTTACCATAAATATTGAAATCTCTTCCTGTGGCTGTTAACTGATCCAACATGGACCGCGGATTGTAATTTGCATCCTTCCACATCAAATCAGTTAAGTAGTGCTAATTGCCATTGAGTGCAGAAGTGTGAAATTGTGTGTTATGGTTGTCTTCTGTCTGATACGTTTGGTTGCGTTCAGAAGGCTGCACTGTGTAATGTTCTTCTCCAAGCGAAGGAAAGCTCTGTCTTATTTCTTAGACATATTATACTTTTCTCAGCAGTATGACATTCTTTTTGGTCAAAATATCTTTTTTGTTGTTGAATTTTATTGTTTAAAAAATAAAATTTGCTGATATTTCCTATGTGGACATGTTAGACTTTAATGTTCAACAATAACTTCCAGTAAAATCTAAACTACGGGTGCATCCACACAGTCCATAACTACAAGTTAAAAAACATAAATTCAAAGTTTAAAACCCAAGCTAAACTTGAAGCTAACAGACTGTCATATGAACCCCACTCATAGCTTGCTTCCTGTCGTAGCATTACCGATTGAATCCACAATTACGGAGAGCTTTCCGTTCCTATCACTATCCAATTATTGCGCTCAGGGAGGGCTCAGCCTAGACCTAACCTGCCCTTGTACGTGAATCCATCAAGGATAAGTCTCGTTCTTGAAAATTGCCCGCCTCATGATTAACCAGCGAAGAAGATTTATCCGTTTTGTTGTCAGGGAAATTATTTGATCACTCTTGTAAAGCATGAAGGGTCTCTTTGGATCATAATTTTGCTCAGAATCAAATGGATTCCACCAACGAGGCCCTCTATCTGAATTCTGACCAACTGTTTCCCCCACAATGCAGCAGTAATGATTTTATTTTGTTGCCGATGTTACAAATTAATTTTTCTGTTTTGAAGCCAGCTACAGTACGTAGGTCCCTTTTGGTACATATTATGATATTTGAAAGATATTATATTTCCCCATAAAATACTAGATAAATTTGATGGGAAAAAATGACTGATATACATACCCTTCCTTCATTATTAATAGGTTTCAATGCAGGCTAAAACATGTATGTACATGAATGTTACTATGTTGTAGATAAAAAATAAGACACAAAGATAGAAGTCAGTTTATGAATCCAAAGTCTATCCGGAGTAGGCCTAACCCTTTAGTATCGGTGGTTAATACCTTTACAATTACATGTACATGTATGTGTATTATGTTACTGATGCTTCCACGTAAATAAGGCCAAATTACAATTTAAGTGTGCATGCTGGCATGTATTAAATTTGTACTCAAATGAGGAAGTACATCTACAGAACATACATGCATTATTGGCCTCGTAATAAGAGTGTACATTTAGGCCTACATTTACATGTATGTTTCCATGGCTATACTAGTGTTGCTGGGATATCCATGGGTTCTCTCTCCTATCTTCTATACTCCCCCCCCCGAGTCTCCCCCTCCCCTGTCTCTTTCCCCCTCCCCTGTCTCTCTCCCCCTCCTGCCCTTGTCTCTCTCCCCCCTGCTCCTCCGTCGCTCCTCCGTCTCTCCTCCCTCCCACTCTCTCCTCCCACCCACTCTTTATTCTTCTCTCTCTCTCTCTCTCTCTCTCTCTCTCTCTCTCTCTCTCTCTTTCTCTCTCTCTCCCTCTTTCTCTCTACTGCCAAAATAAACCTTTTCAAAACAAAAAAACACACACACCCAGTTCTTCTGAAGTCTATTATTATTAATTACAGCTTGCTGAGACAAAATGAGCACTTGAGCAGACATAATTAATGATGCATTGAAAATGAATTACGCACATTAATTTCCTTTTTATGCAGGGTACTAAATACCTTTGAGCATTGTCTACATGTAATTTGTGGACATTGTGTACAGTAAACATATGTCAGTGTGCTCAATCAAGCAGTAATTTGAGTCTAAATTGTCAACAATTTTTGTTTATAAGCTAGTAATTTTTTTTTTCCTTCAATGCTTGAGCAGTAAAGCTGATCTTGAGTTCTGATGATGGATCCATCATTGCAGAAAATAGGGGCTTCAAACTTTCAAAACAGCCCCCTCTCCATCCCTCTCCTTAAACAAATAAAATGTTAGAAATTAAAATAAGTAAGAAAGAAAAATCCTCAAGAAGAGAAATATTATCCTTGTACATGTACAGTTACTAGTTTATCATTTCCGGGCCATGGGGTAAATCACCCTGGTCCCTCAACTAGGGTTTATTTTATCAGTGATTGATACATTATAACAATATACATGTAAAGGCTATAGCACTGAACATGTACTGTACATTATAATGTCAGATATATATAATGTACCTTTCTTGCCTCTCACTGCCGAAGGTGGTACTTGTTATTTTCTGCATGATTTATTTCAAATCTTGTTTTGTCGCCTTGCCTTTTCTTCCAATGTCTCTGTAGATCTTTCACATTTGTCCAGTGCTTCCTGTCCCATGCTTGAGTCTTTCTTTGAAGATGATCATATTAATGTTATATTTTTGAGGAAGGTACTCGTAAGTACAGAGTATAATAATATGGGGAGGTAGGAGTGATATGTTTTTAACTTCGGAAACAGCTCAAATATATAGTTCTGGAGGAGCAAAAAAAATTTGGAAGAATTTTCAAATGTGAACTGCCCTGTTGATCGATCTGTCAAGTATACAAATCTATACATGTCATAAAAGGTGTAATAATGTTTGCCAACCTTTTTTCCAATTCCACAGAAATGGCAGGTTGAGGAATTTGAACTTTTTTTTGTTGAAATTGAGCCGGAATCCATTTCAAGATTCTTTATCATTATGTCACATTGCCAGAAAATGGTCCTCGAGTGAACTTTGTTTGTAAAACTCTTTTAGGCTAGATGCATTTATTTAAAAATGTTTACCTATTCATAAGTCTTTTGAGAATATTTATATGACCCTTTAATCTGGAAAGAGGTTGAGCCATAAAGTTGAAGGAAGAAAGAGTCAATTTTTAACGAAATATGTAGTTAAATGTGTTGCCAATTTTGTCTGATAACTGGTTATGATTTCTATGCACATAGATTTACATTAACATTATCTTATATCCTTGTTACATGTAGATTGTTTCTCTGTTCCTCCCCCTCTCTATCTGTCTCTCTTTCTGTTTCTATCTCTCTCTACCTCTCTTTATATCTCTATCTCTCTCTATCTCTCTCTCTCTGTCTCTCTGTTTGTCACTGTCTCTGTCTCCCTCTCTCTCTCTCTCTCTCTCTCTCTCTCTGTGTCTCTCTGTCGCTCTCTCTCTCTCTGTCTGTCTCTCTCTGCCACTCTCTCTGTGTGTCTTTCTGTACCTTGTACTCATGTATTCTGTGTGTGGGAGACATATATATTGTCCATGGACCATATCTGTCTATGTTTGTAGTCTCAGCTTCTGTCTCTCCCACCAATATTATCTGTCTGTTTACTTTCTTTTCTCATAACTATTCTGTATTTAATCTTTCATTCATTTTCTACTCTCTACTGAACAAAGGCAGTCGTGTCCAAACTACAGCAGCACATTTCTTTGTTGCCTTCTAAGATGACTACTAAGTAGGCAACATTAATTAACAACTGACAATCTCACGAGACTTAATTAGGTATGGATTGCGACTTAAGGCACTCTAGGCTTGTGTAAACAGTCACTTTCATTAATTACTATTTCACAGTGACAGTGGGCTTGTTTTAGTGTGTGAGATCACCGTGAGCCGTGATTCAAAGAGGAAACATTCAATGCCATACCGCTAACCACCTGCGTCTGCGTCTGCTGAGACTATGCATTAGGCGGAGAAGACAGTACTGAGATCCAAATGGATGCATTGTATATCACACACAGCACTCCAGAGGTGAATTTATTCAGTGAGCCTTGCGAGCTCTCTCTCTGTGTCTCTCTGTAGGCCGCTGTCGTGCTGAAATTCACCGGCAAGAGTACTGTGTTCTGCAGATCACTGATATTACTCATGCCGCTCACAACAACGAAAGGGGTTTCTCTTATAGAGCTGGAGTGTGGGGTTAACGTGATGTGTTGATCATATTCCAGGTAGTGCTGTTTTTCTTTACGAAGGAAAATGCTGTAGTTGCTAAGCGCTTGGAGTTTTGTACAAGCGAAGCGTGCATCGAGGAATTCTATTTGTTTAATTGAACTGCACCGTTCTCGCCTGGATTTATAATGGATTTGTCCGTGTGCTCAGGTGGTCATGTGATCTAGGGATGTGGATCGCGGAGAGTCGATATCGGAATGAACATTGCCTGCCCGGTAGCAGAATCGACAGCGCCGCCCGGAGGGGGACTTCCACAGGGCACACCTGCAGGGGCCATTCACAAGAACACAGGATCGTTTGTTGATCTTTCCCCAGGGTACCCATCCCCCCTGAATGCGATTGTCTACAATTAGGAAACAGGGGATCATTGGCTGTACGGGTGTACCCTTAGTAATGCAATACTCTTTACGGGACTGGTGCAAAGTATCTGTGCAATATTGGATCTTACATTAGGAATATACTCAAGTGCTAGCGCTGCATGTGCTTGAATCGAATTTAGGGGAGTAGTCTCATTGGTTGATCAAATAGGACAACAATGTCTCAGCAAGTGGAAAATAATAACCGGGGGATCCAGCGAAAGGCTGCCTCGGAGAAGCGAGAGAGGGACGTCACGGTGAGAGTAGTCAAACAGACCTCGTCTGTCCGGATAAGTAATTCCTCCGGTAATGCTGAAGCGGCGATGCGTATACTTCTTGCCTCAACGTCCAGCCCCCGATCTAGTCTACGGAGAAGTGAGCCCTCGCTTGCTCCGACACCTACATCACCCACGTCCACCCCCTCTAAAAGCCCCACAAGTCAATCTCCACCGGTGACAATCAAAGACAGGACCTCTAAAACGGAATCATACTCCAGCCGCAGCTCCAAATCGGAGTCAAACATTTCTGGGAAATCTAGCCAATTTGGAAGTTTACGGAGCTCCACCTCCAGTAGGATGTCCACAGGGCCCACTGCACGTAGGATTAGCGCTAAAAAGGCACAATCACCGGAGAAAGCGGAACCAGATGCACCTCCAACTCCTCCTGCCATGGAATCAAGAAAGATTGATCTTCTAACGGTTAGATGCATACAGTATTAAGTGCCATTTTGAAGTGCATGAGTTTAGCATTGATTAAAGAGCTTTTGGCATCATATCTTGTAAAAATACATTCAGGGAGATTCTCATTCATCACTTTTATCATTATGTCTGTTGAGAGCCAGAAGGGCGTTAATTTGTCATCACCGATTCTGGGTCCAGACAGATGATACAATGTGGATAAGATATAAATTTAGGGAATGTGGGGAAAATATATATTTTCATCTTCTTTAGATATTTCAAGATCTCCAAAATGATACAAGGAAACCTGATATTTGCCTTCTCATAAATTTCAAAGTGTGCAAATTACTCATTGAGCAATCATAGTGTGCCTCAAAATGTTTGTCTTTACTGTGCATGCCTACAAATATGTTTTTCTCATACCAATTTTTGTTGGTGTGTACTGGTATTCTTCTTTTTCTTCAAAACATATGAAGCAACCATTACCAGCCAGTACACACATTCCCACAGTCATGCTTTGTAGATCAAACGCAGAGCCTTATTATATGCAGTGTTTACATAATATGAATAGAGTTCAGGGCTATATGGTTGGCTATGTGGGGAGTGTGTGTGTGAGTCACCGGGTTGTTTCTGGAAGTAGAATATGATTGTGATATATAATTAAACAGCTGAACCTCAGTGGTTTACATGGTAATATAATTATGAGAGAACAAGAAGCTGGTGAAATAGTGATTTCTTTTTAAGAAAATGCCCTCTTCTAGCTATTGATCTCAGGAGCTCTCTTTTGATTTCATTTGAAAAAGTGAGATTTCTTTCCACAATTTGCTGTACATACATGTAGTCGATACCGGTACTTAGTTTTCCTGAGCTTTTTTTATTTAGCATTCTAGAGCTCATTAATCATTTACCAAACCTGATTATTTTAACAAGCCTATGTTTTGTAGCCAGCTTTCTTCTAATTTAATTTTTGGATCAAGCTTCATATGTTAATTTGCCCTTTATTAATCAGCTTTGCAGCATATATGGTAGTCTGTACAGATTTGCATAACAAGTACTTATGGGTAATTCATGGTTTGTGAAAGTTGTTCATAGTGTTAAAGGGTATGCACATGTATGGTATATAGTGGTGGATGCCTACTTGATTAATACTTATGACAATCCGCTTGCAATTGAATTCACTTAATTATCACACAAGTGTTTTGCTGCATTCTGAGGAATCCATTGTAACAGGATTTTCCTCCTGGAAATTACTTCCTCGGCAAGTTAGACCACAGTCCGTGGTCAGACAAAGACTTCTTAATTAATTTTCAACTGGGCGAATTCATACCTATATTCAAGCCTTCATAACAGTGTACAACTGTACATGTATCATTGGAATCCAATTGGCAGACAGTTAATCCATACAAAGACTGTGGACTCGTACCCTGTAGAACTAATTATAACTCCGGTAGTAAGAAGAGGATATCCTTCCATTCGTAGTGTCGATGATGGAAACGTTTAAGAAAGCCATTTCCAGGATAAGTACTGATATTAAGATTCTTGGAGGATGTTCGATTGTGATCAGAAGCAACAGTGGGTCATTTGCTTTGGGACTAAAATATAAGGTTGAGTTAAAACTGGTAAAAGTGAAAAATAACTTTAAAGAATTCTCATTCTTATCATGTTGGATTCAAGAATATCATAGTTGAAATGTCCCTTAAAATAAAATAGAATGCTCATCAAATACCCTCTTATTTGAAATATGCCAAAAAAAAAACTGAACAGTTGGAACGAACGTTGATGCCACATGTTGTGTGTAGTCCCATAAAGCCATTTCTCCGTGGGGTGCATGGGGTTTTCAGCAAAATTTCTGATCATTTTGATGATTCTAATTTCCAAAACATCACTGTGTACAAAAAAGTGTTACAATGTACACTGAACATGTATCTACTACATAATTAATCTTTCCCAAGTATGTCTGTTATAATCTCATGACCAGAACTCACCTATTTCTTTAAGGTGTTAAAGAGAGAGAGAGAGAGAGAGAGAGAGAGATAGAGAAAAATTATGATGGCGATTGAACTTTGATTCTGAAATTTATCAAACCTGTCTATAAAGGCCATCCAAGGGGAAGGTGTTGAATTGAAATGGCCTATGTATACAGGTTATCACTATAGACAGGTACTAGATTTAAAGTAGATACATATATCACCTATAAACTAAATGGAGCCAAAATTAATGAACACTTGAACAAGTTGGCCAATTTTGGGGAAGTGGCCATCGTGAATCCAGGCTTTATTTAGCTGTATTTTCTATCAAAACTTTAGATTAAATATGGAGGCCAAAATGCCAAATCATTTCCAATTTCACTTCAACGATCCTGCTACCTGTCGTCACGCTTTCTGACACATGTCAATATGGCCTGACGCACTGCAGGATCAGCGCGCCTGTCACGCAATGTGTTGGTCGTCTTCTATCATATATCATTAAATTGATTGACAGCTAAAAACAGCAACGTCTTCAAGGGATTATGATGGGAGATTAGACCTAGTCTGCCTTCAAGTTAATCCACTTTAAAAAGAAAGTGATCAGGAAGAAGTATTTAAAGTACCAGTCGCATGATACACATGTATCAAAACTTAGATTTCGAAACAAGAGCCCACACAATATTGTAAAGGTCAATGTAAAAAAAAAAAAACCTTTTGAAATTTGAGCAAAAAATGAAATGAGTTAAAATGAGCATAAATTTGTCCTGGGGTTTGAACACACTACCTGTGCAATCATGTGTTTTAAAATAGGAAGAGTTGTTTCACCCATTTGCAACAATACATGAAGACGATCGGTAACAGTTGAACGTGCGAAATGCAGAGAATTTGCATCCAAATTGTTAAGTCCTTTTTAAAATCTACATTATTGGTTAATTTTTGTAAATAGTTATCTGTCTTTAGTAATTCTCATATTTTTATAAGTACCGTTCTGTAAATGACATATTTATCTACACATTTCTGAATTTCACTTTTTAGATAAATATCTTACCAGTCCTACATGTATGGTTATAATTGGTTATGTTAGCTGTTATCGTAGCATTCCAAACAATTTGAATAAATGTTTCTTCGTAGTGCTTCAAAATATTGAATATATCTTAAATTTGAGTTTGGAATAGTATAGGTCCAAAGAAGTGACCCTGGGAACTTAGACTTCAACCCTGGTCCTGAATGACACCTGAATCTAGGTGATTAATGATGTCCAGTCACTGTAATCCTGATGCATGATTGTCTGTCACGCCGTTTCCGTGGTTATACCTGGGGATGCGGTCTACAGGAGGACCTGGTTGGTCATCATTTAGGGGGTCCACTACGGGTGAATGGTGATTATTTTCCCTGGTAGAGACTTGACAACCTGAAAAGCAAGTCTTTCCTTTAAAACTGGGGCAATTGAAATTGAAATCCAGTGATTCAATGCTTTAAACACTAAAACCAGGGCTAAAACCATATATAATGTGCTTTGCCTGTCTTGTAGTATTTGCAACTGATATGATTAACATTATCATCTATATTAGATTTTGCATTTCAATTAGTGTTATAGTTATAATGATTACATATATTTATGATCATGAAAAATGTCATGATACTAATTAGTAATGGAAACAATGGTTACTATCTATTCAAAGGTCCAGTACATAACTTATTTAATTTGATATCATTTTCTTTTAGGGTTTTTTCTGTCAACTTTATTTTGCTAAACGAATGAGTCACATTTGTTACAATTTATTCTCCCTTTCTAATTGAAACTCAATTAGTATCTATGTAGAAATCCCACTGTTTCTCTCTCTAGACAAATTTAATTTGAGAATGCGCTGTTGCCCACTTCTAGCACTCTGGCAGCCAAAATGAATGAATTAAGCTAGAGGGAATACCGATAAGAGATGCAACACGCATACATAATGTTTGTGTAGATGGTCTCCAGTTTAATACAGGCCTCTTTGTAAAGTCAAGATGAGCCACACTTTATAGCTAGAAATTGTAATAAAAAGCTACCTGAATAGTAGACTGTTTTATTTGGCATCTTTCTTTGCCATGGGCTGAAGATGTACATGTATTTTTAGTTTAATGATTTATGTTCATTATAAGGTTTAGTATTTAATTTACTATTTACAACATCTTTGAAACTTCTGGGGTACAGGTTGATTAAATACATGAATTATATAAAAAAAAGGACCCCCCCCCTCCTGGTCTTCCCCGGAAGAAAGAAAAATCTTCATTATCAGCATCACCATTAACATCACTCCCACCACCCCCACCACCGCCACCACTACGCCACCCCCACGCCACCCCCACCAATATCAGATTCTATTGCCATCACGATCCCCACCATTACAAGCATTATCACCACCATCATCATCACCATCGTCACCACCATCATCATCGTCGTCTTCATCATTATCATCATCATCATCATCATCGTCGTCATCTTTATCATCATCACCATTATCATCTCCATCATCATCATCATCACCATCATCATCATCATCACCATCATCATCATCAGCATCATCATCACCATCACCATCATCATCATCATCACCATCACCATCATCAGCATCATCATCACCATCATCATCAGCATCCTCACCATCATCACCATCACCATCATCGTCACCATCATCATCACCATCACTATCATCACCACCATCATCATCACCATCATCACCACCATCATCGCCATCATCATCATCATCATCATCATCACCACCATCATCATCGCCATCATCATCATCATCATCTTTACCAGTTGTGACCATCACATTCTCCATTCTTTTCCTCCAACTAGGTATTATGAAAAGATTTGATTAATTCAGGAAGAGTATGAGGAAGGATCGTGCGAGATGACACAATTAATGCACCTGCCTTTGCCGGATTCCCTGTAGCACACCAAAAGGTCAAGTTGCCTTCCGAAAACCCAGTGCCCCTTTTTTAATCATGAGGATTGAGGAGGGTTTTTTTGTAAGGTAACATTAAACTTCCAACAAAATCATCCAGAAT